TTTAAATCCCAGCTGGGGACCAGTTGCTGCATGTCATTTCTCTACTCCTTCATAGTCTCTCCAGGGCCCCTTCCAGACATCCATCACTTTCCGTTTATCTGTCGGCATCTGAACATGCCAGCTTCATGTCTGAATAAGCACCCAGCGTTGCAACCTTGTGACGTATCCGCATCACTTTCAACACTGCACAGATCTACTCTGTATGCTGTCACATTAACAGACAGACACAAGGTCCACCGACTCTTCTAGTTGTGTGTTAGCAGCTTGGGGAAGGCTTTTTCCACATTTCAGTCACTTTGCATGCCTTTCTCGTTCACTTTACTCTACAAATTTTACATCTCTTAGCCATAAAAATGAGTCTATAACATGTGAGATTAATGAGACTCACCAATAATGAGTGTAATTTAGGTTATGACAGAACATTAACAGGAGATACAGTTTAGTTTGCATGCATGGAACATCATAACTTCATTAATAGGAATAATAAATTAACCCTGACATAGAGACAAAGAGTGGTCAGTATTAAACAGCAAGCAACACTTATTTTGTTTTTAACATCAGGCAAGTAAGCTCCCACACAGTCATAATGTATAATCTGCAGTCATATCATTTGTCACATAGCAACTGTCCTCACAGTTGTAGCGACATTTTTATTTTACTGTTCACAAAGTATTATTATGATCATCAAACATGGACAGGGCTTTCATTGTTTAGGACAGTAAACAAGGCAATCAGCTATTTGGATTAGTTTAGATTGTCTGTTAGTGCATTATGCATCACTTGATGTGCCGTCCAAGACAAATACCGCATGTGTACCGTGGCTCTCTCTGTCACTGTATCTCTGAGGAAGATTAATGTAAAAGCGACGTACGTCCGAATGACAGAATGCCGTCACTTTAACAGATTGATGAAGCGGTAATGTGGCTCATCCCACGTCTGAAAGGGGCTTATAAAATAAAGACATAAAAGTGCCTCTTAAAAACGTTAAGAAAATGACACAAGATGATATTTGCCATCTTTGAAATGTTTACAGTGACAATAAAGCTAAAATACATACAACGCAGAATCTGACAGGCTAGAAGACAGTGTTCCAACAATAAATGAGGCTTGTTGAAATCTGAGGAACATCACCATTCATGTTTAGGGGCTTTATCAATAAGATGCATGTGTACGCTCAGCAAATAGTCTTTGTGGCGTGTGTTTGTTTTCATTCCCGCCTAAATGATCCGGTGCCACTTTCCCCGCTGCAACAATAATCCCCTAAATTCTGTGCGCGTGTGTGTGTGATGTTGCGCTATTGCTAGTAAGTTGAGTCATGTGTATGTAGACGTCCCTGCCTCGCTGTGTTTACAACGCTCACTTTAAATCTCCCTAGTTACTCCTGACATCTGGCCAAGGACTTCAGATGGAGCCAGTCATTTCCAACTCTGGCATCATTTCTAACTCTGTCATACTAAGAGAAATATGTATGTGCAGCGCCCACGTCAAGGGTACTACTGAGAAAATAAATAAATAAATACAAAGATGAAAGGGAAAAAATTGTGGAAGCAAAAAAAAAAAAAAGAAAAAAAGACTCATCCCTTTGAGAAGTTAAGTGAGGGTTTCACCGACCTTTTGTAACCATCCCTGAGGCAAAAGGATGCAGCACAGTGGGCGTTCCACTTTGTGACCTGAACCATGTGTCTTATTACTAGTCTGAGAAGAGCCCATTTTGTGGCATGTATAAGACGAACGATTTTAAAAATCAATAGATGCTCTCTGAAAGAAGCAAATGGGGGAATTTTGCGCTTCATAAAAACTAAACATTTTAAATAACTATCAAAGGGCATTTTAAAGATCATATGGCTGCCTCCGCTGTCAACAAATAGAGGAATAAACTCCAGAATGTCACGCAGGACATTACAAGAGGAATGTTTCCAACAAGATGCTGCATACGATTTTATCTTCCAGTACATCTGTTAGTGGTGCTACTAGAGGTTTGATTTTTTTTGCACTTTCCTCTACCTGCTTGCTCCTTTGAGCAGACAGCAGATGCTGGAGTCCCATACTGGGACTCGACACTAGGGGTGAATTTCACAGACAAGGAGTGAACGTGCAAATCCTTCAAGGAGAAGGCTAGAGACAAGAACCCAAACACAACCTCCCTGTGAGGTAACTGTGCGAATCAGCACCCGATTATATCCAGGATTTGTGACATGCTGAGGTAATGAATCCAAATCCCCAGAGAATGCCAGGCCACCTGCTTGAAAACAGAACAATAACGGAAAATAGAAATATTCTTTTTGTTGCTTAGTTGTGTACTCTCCAAACTTAGGCTCTAAAAGCTGCTTTGTAAAGAACCTTCTACACTGACAGGATTATAATTTTGAGAGATTATTTTAATTTTTTTAAAACAATTTTGGCTTAAAGATTCAGACTCCAAATAACTGGAGCTTCATCCACAGCTCAAAATGTAGAAATTGTCTATAAATGTAAATCTTGAAATATTTCTATTACCTTTTATGACTTCTAATCTTATTTATTTGCTACACTTGCTGTTTATTTCACTTTTAATACTTGCTACTGGTTTGCAACACTTTCTTTTCCAATCTGCATGTCAGTGTGTACCATCCTTGTATGTAAAAATCTATTTGGCAATACTTGATTCTAAAACTGATTCCCCTCGGGTCAACTGATTCCAAAAAACAAGACTGGGGACAAGAATCTAGTGTCCTCAGTGGTAGCTGCAGCCCTAAATAGGCATTAAAGTTTTAAGGACTACATGTAAAATGGAGACACTCTTAAAAACAGTCCCGTGGTTACTTTTTATGTCACCTAACATCAGTCAAAGCGCAGCAAACAGAACATTAAATCAAATATTGTGTGGCCCTCCTTTGCTTGTTTGGCAACGTCATGGTAGTGTTTGATGGATAAGAATCCAAACATGTCAGGAGCCTAAACTTCCACACATGACAGCATCCCCATACGCTGGACTCTCCCATCAGGCTTTCATTAGGTGATTGTAGAGAACCCGGCAGATCAAACATGTCAGTTGAATTCGAGAGCAAACAGAAGCGGCAAATGAACCGAGCTTCCTCTCCTCTCACAGCTTGGCTGCCAGCCTTTGATGACTTTCACAACGTTCTCATGATCTCCATCATGTCGGCTATTAACGTGATTTAGCCGTGCTTACACAATGAGTCAGCGACACAACCGGAGAGCTGTCAGGCGAGGGGTTATGACACGGATAAAAAGCTTTACTCCTCAGCACTAAATTGTTCTCTGCCTTTGCGTCTCGGCGCGAGTACATCTGTGCCTATTTTTGGAGCATTCTGCTGCTTTGGCCCAGTGAACGAAAAATGTACAAGGAAGAGGGAAATTTTAATGGCTCCCTTTCAGAAAATCCAGAGAGCTATATTTGGACAGCACGGGATGGCGGCGGCCCAGGGGTCTTGGCGTTTGGGCCATCAATGTGTTGCATTGTGATTCTAATCAAAGTGACGAGCGCGTCGGGGTCAGCGGGGATGAGCACAGCGTGGCATGGGCAAAATAACGTCAGTCAGCGTGACAGCTGCCCCATAATCTACAGCTCGTCTTTGACACTCACCCAGATCAACCACTTATTGGTATAAATAATTCAACACCAAATGAGGACATTAACGCTGACACTGTCAGGCCGTCGCAGGATGCCTCATGACATCCCTCTTGACTGCTCTTGAAGAACACTGACTTTATTGTGCGTATTCCACTTAGGAAAAAAGGTGCATCGAATTTAAAGCAGGTGCATCCGCTATGAGGGCATTGTGACTTTCATATATTGTAGACTCGGCTATCTGGTATCAATAAGTCTGGCTGTCAATTGCAGTTTCACACCTCATTGTTTAAAAGCAAGAACATGAGGCAACTTTTTAAAGTCATCTGATACATCACCTGCTTAGTATTAAATCAAAACTAAGAAACTGCAGAAATAAGAAATATGCAGTTACTTTAAGAATCCCAACACATTATGTGCTTTGATATTTTATTGACTTTTTTTTTCCTTTCACTTATCTGTTTCTCAAAGGCAGATCCTTGTGATGTTCCTGTTACATATTCACTGTGAGCGAGTGCCAAACTTGCTTTTTTTTCTTTTACAAGTGAAGTCTTGTAAAAAGAGAGTGGAAATGTGCTGCTGGAATCACAGATTTATATGTGTATAAACCCACAAAAAAAAGCTCAATGGTGCCACTAGAAGCGAAGAGTTATTGTAAGAGTTTCTTAATAAGGTCAACTACCTGGGTCAGTGGCCGACATAATGGCCCCAAACAGGAGGCAGTCGGTGAGGAAGAATTCTCCATCTGCTGCTTGGCCCAACAGCACCATCAGTCTGGTGAAGCCGTACATGCAGGCCCTGGGATTGAGGACAAACAGACAGGAGGAAACACAGTGAAGTCATCAGGGAGTGCCAGCCAGACCAGGCCTATCAGTCATCCCCCTAACCACAGCAGGGCTTCCCCCAGAGTAGTCTGGGTAATGAGGCCAGACGCTACCAGCAGGTGAGTTGATCCATTTCCAGGCAGCGGCTGCTTAGCACTAGCGGACATGTGAGGCTGTGGCTGCGCCGGGTAGCGTTTAATTTAACCGCATTTATGTGACTGGGTGCATAAGACTTGACAGGCGCCATCCCCTCAATCCTGCATCCGCTCGGATACCTGTATCCACACGCACGCCCATCCATCCGTCTTCACCCCTTTCGTCCTTTTATGACACTATTATACGCACGCAGACATAATAAAGCGGTGTAAGAATTGTGAGTGTGTAGTGTGTGTGTGAGTGTGTGTGTGCAGAATCACCCGAAAGACTAAAAACCACTTTGTGAAGGGCACTGTGACAGAAATAAAACAGAGGCATTATTTTTATCAGCTCCAGAGCCAGGCACTAAAATAAATCTAAAATCTAACTGTCCCAGAATGCGCCACTGTATTGTCTCCTTTCTAAAAAAAAAAAAAACCCAAACAAAACTGTACGCTCTGAGGACAAAAACAAAACAACAAAAAACTTGATAAAATGTCTATTCAGCAGGCAACACTGCAGTCCAGCTCCTCCTGAGTGGTAACTAATGTATGTTAAGCACTAATCCCGTTAGTGTGAAGCATCCCATAATAATCAGTATGCCAGCGTGTCCTCTGGGGAACCTTTCTGTCCATTGGCATAAATCTGTTGCCATGGTGACAGCACACACGACCTGCCCCCGCAGGAATTAAAGCGTTGCCCTGAGGACATGCAACTAAGCAGTCTTATTCATGTATCTTAGGGGGAGACTCGGAGTTGGGAGATGATGTGCGTCGTCTGTGTGCTCGCGTGAGACAGAAAATGACACGGGCACATACAGACAGAAAGAGGATGCACTTCGTCAATTGAGTCCGTAAGGTTCCTTCACTCTCATGACTCACTGTCTTCTCCCTAAAGGATGTGACAAACTTACTGGCGAACCACAGGATTGGCCCGATCTCAGGCCTTAAACGGTACACATGAGCCAACATGTCGAAACCTGTCTGGCTTCCCACTGGAACTGGGAGGGTTTGACAGATGGTATTCCAAGGAAAGGACCAACAAATGGAACAAAGAAGGAAGGGAAGACAATGTATTTAACACTGCAGGTTGGAGAAGCCCACCGATTCCAGCTAATATCTTAAGGGCACGACCTTTAACCTTGGGTAAAATTGAAAATAAAATGATTAGAGAGTGGAGATAATTTATAATTAAGGGGGTTATCAACAGGAGTAGGAGCTCAGGATGTCATAGACATACTGACCTGGCATTTTATATTGCTGTGGGTTAAAAAATGGCTTTTCATAAAACGGTTTCATAAGACCAAGGATTGGTCATTTTTTATTTCTGAAAACAGAACATCCTGAAGTTGAAGCTTGAAAGCATCAAAACTGGAGTTACGAGGTTTTCACACAGTGTCGTGTGCAGCATATTAGTGCATCAGTAACAACTGGTTTGCAGTTTCCTCTGAAGTCTGACAGTGCCATCTAGCTTTGTCGGGCCAGAACAGCAACACTGCATATCCCTACTGTAGCTCTCTCCCAGGTCTGTGTATATATATATATATATGCTCAATACATTAAAAAGCTCATACAGCCATTCTGATTAATCACGATTAGTAAAGCACAAGTGTAATTAATATCCTTAATTATGGCTCCATTTCATATCAGTCCCTTCCAGAATTCCAGCATCGGCAGAGCTTACTTACTGAAACACTTGCAGAGGACTAATTCATGTTATTAGTTACACCTGTGCTTCATTCCAAAACGCCACAGCAACCAAGCAAATCCACACAACTGCACAATTTACTCTCGCAGCTGCAAACGACCCCCCCCCACTAAATAGTGTATTGTAAAAGAATGGAGTACAGAATAGAGGTGCAGCTGCTGAATGTACATACTGCACAATACAGTGGTGCATTTCTATTGAGTTATTTTCTTTCTTAAACTGAAAATTCATGCAACTTTTATTCATAACAATCAAAACATTAAAATATGATTTAAAAAAAAAAACAGATTGGGAAAATCAATCCAGCACTGTTTCATTTTCTGGTACTACATAAGACGATAGAACTTCCTAAAGATGAAATACAGGCCAGTGTTCCACCAAAATGTAAATGCACCAAATGTATATTGCTATCAGAGTTGACCAATAAATTGTAATTTTACTGTCAATGTGACATGAACATGTGCACTGAACACATCAACTAAAATGTGATGAGTAAGAAAAATAATTTCATTTATATATGGAATGCCTTTACACTCAGCATGCAAACATTTGACCGATCAGTTGGAACTCTGGATACATCAGCCATTACATTCACACCATTCAGCCAACCAAGTAAATCCCCAGCTAGCCACCAGAACCAGGACCAGATTAGCCGGTGTCAATTTAGTGGCAAAGTAAGCCAGCCCGATGGATGACGAAGGACAAAAGAGCGAGGATGAATTATTTTCTTAAAATGTATTATTTAATTTAATGTTCTAATTTAGTGGCTGGGTATTCGAGGGCAAGTAGTTCAATAAAAACCATCTAATCTTTCTTAAAGGTGCAGTAGCTACGATTTAATGTAGCATTTATAAAGCAGCAAACAACTACCTGCTATATAAAGACATAGTGGTGTAATGACATCTCCAGCACAGACTGAAGTCACTCCTGCTATGTGCGTTTTAATGTAAGTGTCTTTGTTCTATGTTTTGGTGGAGAAAATGTGTATGTCAATATGAGGTGTGTCAGAAAAGTTCCAGGACTGGTGACACAAAAGATATATCTCAAACCCAAACTACAAACTACGAGTTTTCCCCTTCAGACGATCAACCAGCATGTCTTTTTTTTTTTTTTTTCTGGCTTTTTTGCCTTTATTGGTCAGGATAGTGAGAGAGTGAGATGGGAAACGGGAAAGAAGAATGGGGAGAGACTTTGCAGCAAACTGTCGTGAGCGGGAATCAAACTCACGAACGCCACATCGGGGAACTTCAGCCCCTGGTTATGGGTCGCCCGCTCAACCAGGTGAGCTATAGGGGCGCCCACCTGACTTGATTTTCTGTCGAAACTGCTCCACAACAAATCTGAGTGTCACTCCGCTTCATCTGCCAGACCACTATTTTATTCAACTCACTGTCTCCTTACCGGAAGACTCTCCAGTTCCTCCACAAATGTTTTCCTTCCGCCACAACCTTCAGTCCCTCACACCAACCCAGCTTTCTAACATGGTCTTGGCTTCCGTGCCTCCTCATAACACATTCTCCTCACTCACTTGAGCGAACTGTCCTCAACCAAGTCTGTACTCTCCTCTGTAACAACAATCTGTATGACCCGTATCAGTCTGGTTTTAAACAGGGTCACTGTACTGAGACTGCACTCCTATCTGTAACAGAATCACTGCGTTCTGCTAGAGCTGCTGGACAGTCTTCAGCTCTATTGCTGCTGGATCTGTCAGCTGCCTTTGACATGGTTAACCTCCACATCCTCCTCTCCACACTCACTGAGATGGCATCTCAGGATCTGCCCTCCGCTGGTTTGTGTCCTACCTGTCAGGAAGATACTTCAGAGTATCCTGGAGGGGAGAAGTGTCCGAACCGCACAACCTATCACACAGAGGTTCCTCAAGGGTCAGTGCTTGGTCCCCTTCTCTTCTCAATTTACACAACCTGACTCAGTACAATAATCCAGGCCCATGGTTTCTCATACCATTGCTATGCTGATGATACCTAGCTCTTCATGTCTTCCCCCTGGACGACCACATGGTCTCTGCCCAGGTCTCATCATGCCTTGCAGACATCTCGGCATGGATGAAAAAATGTCACCTTCAACTCAACCTCTCTAAGACTGAGCTCCTTGTCATACCAGCCAGTCCCTCTCCACAAACGGAAATCAACATCTAGCTTGATTCAACCCAACTCAAACCCACAAAATCTGCCAGAAACTTGGGTGTCATGATTGATGACTAACTAACCTTCAAGGTTCATGTGGCCTCTGTTGCTCGGTCATGTTAATTCGCTCTGTACAACATCTGGAAGATCAGACCTTTCCTGTCTGAATATGCAGCACAACTCCTGGTACAAACTCTAATAATATCACACACTGACTACTGCAATTCCTCACTGGCAGGCCTCCCCGCATCCACGGTCAAACCTCTGCAGATGATCCAGAATGCAGTAGCATGTCTGGTTTTCAACCAGCCAAAAACAGCACGTCACCCTGCTGTTCAGACTGCTTCACTGGCTTCCAGTTGCCGCCCGCATCAAATTCAAAACTCTGACACTTGCTTACAAAACCACAACGACAACAGCTCCTTCCTCCCTGACCTCTCTCATTCAGATCCACACTCCCTCCCACTCACTACACTCCACCAACAAAAACCACCTGATGCAACCACCGCAACAGGGCCCGAGGTTGATAGCTAGACTTTTCTCCTCTGTGGTTCCGTGCTGGTGGAACGAGTTACCAAACTCTGTTCAATCTGCTGACTCCATCTCAGTCTTTAAGAAAAGACTAAAGACGAAGCTCTTCACTGAACACCTTTGCACTTGACCGCCCGAAAACAAACAAACAAACAAAGAAAAAAACAAAGAAAGAAACAAAAAAATCCTATTACCTCCCACACAGCCTGCTGTTGGCATCAACGCCCTATCACACTTGAATTTGTTCTATGGCGCTTATCTAGATTGTTTTCTCCTAACTAGATCCTTGCTTGTGTTGTATCTGCTCTCAGATGTACATCGCTTTGGATAAAAGCGTCTGCCAAATGAAATTGTGGAACTGTAGAAACTATATCTTTTGTGACACCAGTCCTGAAACTTTTCTGACACACCTCGTACATGTGAGTCCCTCCCTTTGAAATTGTTGGCTCTGCAACACATTAGAAAAGCAAAAGTGCAGTCTGGTGTTCCTCCAAAACCCCAAAATTTAAAGACCAAGCATTTTACTTAATTGTTCTTGTTACATGTGATTGTTTACCAAATGTATATGCACTCAGCTAATTTGTGAATCTCTCCTCTCCTACCCCTTGACCACCTTGATGGGCTAATGGTTACAGCTGCATTTATTTTTTCTTTGTCTCTAATGTGCATAAACTTTTCGTCTGCAAACATAAATCATTATGTGCCCAACATGGCCGTTTGATTCAGTCTAAGATGCTCATAAAGTGTTTCTGAATGTTGCACTCTATAAAGTTTAACGTCAGACACTATTGATGTCTCACAATGTGAACTGTAATGATAATAAATTCAAGACTTTATTGTGCGGATATGTTGTATTTTATGAACAAATTAGAATTCTGTCCATGAACCAAACCAAAAAATGCTTGTGTTATTGTCCGTAAGTTGCCATTGGTTGTGCATGGTGGATCTTCAAACCAGCTGCCTCAGCTATTCCTTTATTTCTTGACACTTTTGTGTGTTTTATTGTATTTTTTCTGTGTTTATTGTGTGAAACTTACCCGATGCACATACAGCTGATTATGGTACCCAAAAATGCATAGGTGAGAACAGATCCCAGGTTCTCAATGAATCGTCTCTAGGATATCAATGAAAAGGAGCTCCAGTTAGTAAACCACAAAACAAGAAGTGCCACAAGTTCCAACACCTTAAGTTAGATTTCAGGTGACAAACAGTACAATACACAATACACTTTTTCAAACTGATGGAGCACTCGTACAAAGGGAGCAGTCCTTAGATAAGGTCTTTTTTCCCCTTCAGGGAGGCATGTTAGGACAGCAGTCTCACCTGATTAAGGGTGTAAGCTCCATGGAAGATGATGGGTGGCAGGAACAGATTGAAAAGGACCTCCGGATCAAAGGTCTCCTGTAAAAGACAGAGCTGTTGTGTTGGTGACTGACAGGGCTCCGTGGGGAGCAAGAGGACTCCGTTTACCGAATGTGACTGACTGACAGAAAGATTACACACACGTCGTTCATTTTAGCAGCCCTGTTTTGGCAGACAGGCGCCAGTTTCTTTTCTCGCTGAATCCCAATGTCACAACAGTCTCCAGGTGCAAAGATAATCGTATCTGTCCTCTCTTCAAAATGAGAGGGAAAAAAACCTATTGCACGCTGTTAATAGCAAAAATAGAAAATGTGAGCTTTAAGAATCAATGTTCATGTTTATGTATTTTTAAATTGTTCCCACCCATAAACGCTGAACTTTGTACACCAAAAAGTAATCTAGACATTCAAGGGTACTTCAATAATATGTAACATTTAGAAAAATGCTACAAATTCTTCCCAAAAACAAACTTTAAGCTCTCAGTTTGGTAACTATTTAGCATTACATCACCATAAAGCCCTCAGCTGCCTGATGATATTGATGATATAATTACTGTGTACTGCATTAGCATGCTCTCCAAGTGTCCCCGACTCAGACTGGAGGTGATTAAAGCAAAACATAATACAAAATGAGTAGTCTAAATGGTTGTGTCGGTCTTCACCGCAAATGCTCCCAGAATTAATGAGAATAAGTAAGTGCCAGTGTTATATTCACACAGATAACAGATGAATTAGCATTAAACTAAATCCAAGCTACTAATCACTAAAATCTACATTACCTTCAACACAAAAAAAACTCTAACCGCAGTGCAAGGCTTTTTTTTTTTTTTTTTTTACAGTCCGTGCTTTTTCTCTGTCTGTTTTTCATCCCGGCCAATGTGATGCAATGCAAGCCACTCAGAAAGGTAGCCTTTCATGTCCTTCATCCTCGAATCCTTTTTATGTCCATTGTGGGTACATTCTGAGGATCAAACGCTAGCGATATTCAATTCAGATCAAAATAATGCTGCTTTTTCTTGATCCCTACATCCCACAAGGTCTCCTCCTTACACTGCTCAAAATTTAATTCCAGTTCAATTAAATTTCAGTCCAAAGCACGAGATGTGGAAATGACGCTCGCAGGGATATCGCTGCGGTCACAGACCTTTAAGAGCAACCGAGATTTGACTTTTAAAGAAAATACAGACAGAAGGTTGAAGCAGCCTGAATATCGGATGAATGAAACCAGGGCCTGCCTCTGTAAATGTTCTGCTTCAAGAACACACTGGAGTTTGGTTGAACATTTACTGCAGTGCATGTGTGAATATGTGGAAGATTGCATTGCATTTTTTTTTTAAATGATCTTTTCTAACACTGGAAAGCCCCCTATAGAGACCGAAGAGCCACAACGCTTTCTCATTAATTCACACTTGAAGTGGTTGCTAGAGCTACAAATTGCTCCTATCTATCTGCTACCATAACCCGCCTCAATATAAATTACTTTTTCTCTCTTTTTTTTGTGTGTGTGGCTGCAATTACCCACACAGCACAATATGTATTTTTTTCATCTATGCAGACTATGTATGACAAACACAAAAGTGCATAACAGAGACACTGTAATCAATAAATTATGCATCTGGTGGAGGTTTTATTCTAAGGGCCACCTGCACCACACAGTCGCGGATGGAGGTGTGTTGTATACACTAATTGCCTCTTCAGCTGAGCAGCACTAAATTTAATCAGACCACAAACTTTAATGCCCTACTCCCCAGTGGCACATAATGGACTCGGTAATGCAATGAAATCCTTATCTCTCCCTGCTAGGTCCCCATATGTATCAGGGTTAATGGCGTGAAGGCTGCACAGAACAGTCTGACCGATGTAATGGCCTTTGTGGTAGCCTCTGCTGGCTTGCTAATGAGACCCCGGCATTCAAAAGGGGGCCAAAGAGTCCAAGCCATTAGCGAAGAACTACACTTGGCCTGGATGATTTGCAAGGTTCAAGGTTCACTACTCCCTTTCTCTTGGGTTGAAATATTGCTCGGAGACTTAAGAAATACAATTTGAAATGCACTCGTTCCACATTCGCTCGCGCTCGGCGGAGACCGCGAAGCTCGTCGTTTGGCTTCTTTGATATGACAAATCTCTCTGATGGCGCCGCAGAAAACATGAAAGCAGGCTGGAAAACAGTAATGAAACTAATGACAACTGAAGGTCCAGCTCAAGGCTTAGTTAGGCTCTTCTACTTAGCCGTCATATTAGAGTCACTGGCTAATTCCTTCTTTTTTTTTTTTTTTTTAACAAATAATTACTGACTGTGATTAGTTTGCAACACTTTGGCTTAAGGTCTGGTTAAAAAACATTATTTCAGCTGTAGCTCAGCAACAAAAATAATAGGAATATACTACATTTTAACACACTGTTTTAAAAAATCCTTGCCTGTAGAAGCTCTAATTAGCAATTCAAAAACATAAAACTGCATTCCAATTAAAAGCGATAATACAGTAAGAGAAAACAGATGATCTCCAATCTGTTAAGTGTAATAATGGTTCTGAGCAGACTGCTATTTGTGACTGCAGTGCTCATAAATACAACGGGCTGCTTCTATTCCAACTCTCAGTATCATCAGCAGCGGTGAGGCGGACTATCACCAATCATATATTATTTACCTTATCATAGCCCCTTCCACTTTATAACAGATGGTGGATATTCACACCCATTATTGTGTTGTGGGTCACGGGTTGAGATGCTCATGTCTGTCTAAGAGGAAAAAAGCTGCAGTGCCTGTTGAGATATCTAACTATCTCACATCTCTCCTGCAGTGCAGCAATATTGGTGCAATCCGGCACCGATATCACGTGTAAGAGTATCTCATTATGGGAGCACTGCATTCAAATGCAACTCTGAAAATGTCTTCAGAGGACCACTTCAAGACGAAAATAAATTGGGCTTTCTAATTGTATTCGTGTTTGTATTTGCTGGCAGAGATGTGCTTTTTACAAAAATCATAAAATAAATCTTTTTGTTGTCCATTGATTAGTCCCTTTGTGTTGCTTTATCTGTTCTGCTCGAGCGGAATCTGTAAATAGTCTTTTAAATTTAATTTCCACTCGTCCGCAGAGCACACCTGAAAATGTAATCTCCCCTATTTGTTCCCTAATACAACCCTAATACGGGTTAAATTGCTCTCTTGCCTTCTTTCTCTCTGCACCACCACTGTCTTGCTTTTATAATAACAAACAAACCATCCAAGTAATTTAGAGGAAACCCAATAACTAAGACCCATTAGAGGATCCTGTTGATGTAAATACCCAGCACACACGAGAGACAAAATATAGATGTGTTCAAAGCGAGGCAACAAAGAGAAAAACTTATTTCAGACAAAATAGAATTATATCGGAGGGAGAAAAAAAAAAGAGCATTCTGTCTGCTACAGTTTGTTTTCAGATGCTCCCACTGCACTTTTGATTATGCAGCCTTTTAAAGCGAATGTTTTATTAGAACGGGCTGTTTCATTTTTCACTAGTGTCACAACCTGCAGAGCTTCTCCACATAAAAGATGAGTTTTTTGTTGTGTATTTTTCAGCGAAGGTCAAACTGAATTACCATAGTTACCGCATGAGGTGCTGAGATCAGTGAGCATCGCTGGCTGATTTTTCCAACGCGTCTGTAGCAGTGCTCGTGTGTTGTGGTGTTGACCGTCAAGACGCGAGGCGTGCTGTTCAGACCGTGACAGGTGCACACGCTCTCGACGTTCTCCGCATGCGCTTCAAACCACAACCATCTCGCTGTTAAACCCAGAAGCATGCCTGCAGAGGAGTGCAACGAAAGGGCAGCTGTTACTAAAAGCATGGTAATTCTCTAATAGCTTACATTTTAATAGGAAAATCATCGAGTGCACTCAAAAAAATCTGCCATTTTGAGTTAGGAAAACATCTAAAGAATTTAACCAATAAATCTGTATTGATTCTCAGTCATCCAGGTCCTGGTTACCCCAGGAGTTTCAGTAGAAATTAACCGGACTTCGCTTTTAGGTTCTTGAAGACATTTCACCTCTCATCCCAGAGGCTTCTTCAGTTCTTGAAGTCTTCAAGAACCTAAAAGAAAAGTCCAGTTGATTTCTATCTTCAGTCTTAACTGTATGAAATTGTCCTGGGATGTTAAGATAGGGGCTGCAGGGTGGTGCAGTTGGTTAGCACTGTTGCCTCGCAGCAAGAAGGTTGCCGGTTCGCGTCCCGGTGGGGGCACCGGAATCTTTCTTTGTGGAGTTTGCATGTTCTCCCCGTGCAGCGTGGGTTCTCTCCGGGTTCTCCGGCTTCCTCCCACACAGTCCAAAAAACATGTTGAGGTTAATTGGTGATTCTAAATTGTCTGCAGGTGTGAATGTGAGTGTGCTTGGTTGTCTGTCTCTAAGTGCAGCCCTGTGATAGACTGGCGACCTGTCCAGGGTGTCCCCTGCCTTCACCCTGAGTTGGCTGGGATAGGCTCCAGCCCCCCCGCGACCCTAATGAGGATTAAGCGGTGTATAGATAATGGATGGATGTTAAGATAGAAGAGGAGGCATGAAAACCTGAGGTCAAAATGAAGTTATCAAGCCAATTTGAAAAAGTTAAATAAACTTGAAGTTAGCTTAAAGCAGAAATTGAGGATTAAGTCACTGACAGTATTACATAGATGCAATTATCAAACACTATTATGTCAACCCAATTGATCAAACGGTCATGTGACTTAAAAAGTTGATCTAATTTTCTTTATTCAGGCACCCGTCTTTGCCTTATTAGTACTTCTAGGTTTTTTATTTCTTTTAATTGTGTCTGTGACCTGTGCTTGTAATTTTGTTGTGCATTTTAGCTTCTTTTAATGTACTAATTGAATGACAATAAAGTAATCTATCTATCTATCTGTCTCTCTATCTATCTATCTATCTATCTATCTATCTATCTATCTATCTATCTATCACAGCAAACTAGATTTTTTATTTTATGCATATAACTAAGTGGAAATAGGCCTTTTGAATTACTTTTTAGAGCGCATGCTGTAAAAAGAGGCTGTCTTCCTACAAATAAGCACATTCAAGTTGCCCAAACACACCACATATGGGGCATCTATACATACCACATGTTGTGATGACACATTAGTAAACATCATATTAGTAAATATATATTAGTATATTAGTAAATATATTGCATTCATCAAGTACACTGCTTGTTTTTTGACACTTTAATGATAAATTTGGAGCTACCTGTCAAATATTGCATCCAATTTGTTGCAATGGACTGTCCAAATTAAAAGTCAGAAGCTATTTATCACCATCAAGTCAAACAACCACCCACACTTTGACAAAATTTTAATCACACTTCCTACTTTAAAATGTATCCTTGTTTTGATTTAGTAAATCAAAAACCTGAGACTGACAGTGATTTTTGTGTTACAAGTAAATAAGATCAAGCTGTGCTCTCCTAAGACTTTCTAGATGATATTACACTCCACCTCATCCCCATTAGGCTCTAAAATTGTGACTAAAATTGATTTTTATTAACATTCTGACACACTGTTTAAACTGAGCATCCAGGAAGTGCTGCTGAATGACTGCTTCCTTACGCTACACTCTGCAGATGAGCAGGTGGAGGCTACTTACCATAAAACATTGCGGCTCCAGTTTCATTTATGAGTCTGTATTTGAACTGTTTTAACTTCCACACGGTGAGGACGGTTAGCAGAGCCAGGCTGAGCGCAGCGAGGAACAGTAACGCTGCGTTATCCTGCTTGTGCTTCACAGAGGCCGACATCTTCGAACCCAAAACCAAACTTTTCGGAAACTCATTCAACTGTGTCAGCAACATCCGCATCAGCAGCGGTGCACAGCCCGTGCTGCCTTCAGGGACACTTGGAAATCGGACGTTTTTTGCTTACAGGTGAGAAACAACTGGATCAATCCGTGTCGTTTCAGATTTTGTTGTTGTTGATATGGCACTGTCTAGAATGTGTGTCAGAAAGCAAAAGATTTATTAATGATGTGTGTTGAATTATCACATGTTTCTCTGTGCTGTGTTCAATTCAAGTACATGCAAGAAAATAAGAATCATGTGTTGCTAAGCTTTTGATGAAGGCAACATGGAAGAAACTTTTGAGGTCCTACATATGACAAAACAGCAAAAATGGAATCTTGCTTTGCCATACTTGCCTCAAATATTGGTGAAGTGTCAACCAAAGACTGTATTTTTAGTAGAAATTATTATACGTGTATATACAGGAACTTTCTAAGGCCTCACTTCCACCCTCGCTTAAAAACTTTGCACCTTTTTTTTTCCAATTACATGGACCAATAATTTAAATGTCTTCAAAAATAGTCATTTTAATCCTAGTTGTCCTCTGCTGGAGCTGTTTGATTGTTTGGATTGACTGAAAACAATTTTGTCTGTGTTGTCACCAACTTTCACGGCTCCTGTAATTGTATTTCTGGATGTGTGGAATCCTAAATATGGCTTCACAAGTATGATGTGCCTTTTAAAATTATTATTCAAAAGAGAGAATTTGTGTGAAGAATGGAAAATTCTCAAAATCCAGCAAAATGTCTTGAAAATGTTAAGCTTTTGGCCTCAATCAATACATTCATGATGACTGAAGAAAATCTGAGATGGTGCAGCAATATGTTTCCTGAATTCTGAAATCTGAGTTGACATGGACTGACACAGCTGTATGGATTTTTGCCCCACCTATGGAACTAAAAAAAAAAAGAAGTAATAAATAGATGTTGACATTTTTAAACTTTTCAAATCAAGAAATACAAAGCTGTTTGTCACACATGGACTAAGAACTGCAATGTCTGATTAGCATAGTCTTAAAAAGCCAAACTACAGCTTGTTTGACTTATAAAAGCAAAATAAATCACATTTAATGACTTCAATCAATCAGCCTGTGAGGCTTTATTTATATAGCACTTTTCGCACAAATGAAATGTAGCACAAAGTGCCTCACAGAATAAAAGGAATAAAAGAAAAAAATATAAAAACAATACTCCACCCCCACATCCACCCACCCGTGAATATTATCTTCTAAATGAAGGACTTAATGAAACAGGGACTGAGGAACTGAGGAAACTCTATAATGAATAAATGAATGTAATTAATCTAATTCTTCTGCTTATGTAGCCTAGATATGTCTTTGCCGAGGCATTAAATATGTCTTGTATTTTTGAAAACAATTAAAAATAGCACACATTGTGCTGTGTGTCATCCTCTAGTCTTCCAGCAGATGGCGGAGGATACAAACTAATGCAACTTTGAAGCTCCTTGGAGCCTGTGAGAGGCCGGGACATTGAATATTCCCGTTAGCTCTAAGTGAATCAGTCATAGTCCTTAATGAGAAGCTAATTAATCAATTAGTCGTTTTGCATTAATGGATTAATTGTATTTTTAATTAAGTTTGATCATTAGCTGAAATTTAAAAATAGTGCAAATTAAGAAAAATGGTCTACATGTGTAGTAAGAATTAATATATTTTTCATATATATGTATGTGTATTTAGATATATATGCACAGTAGGTTTATGAGTCAGACAGTGTTAACTTAAAATTATTAATAAATTAGAGCTAATGATCCTGTTACAGTTGTGTGGTCTTTAAACTGATCACGTTGTCAGATTTAGTCCGAACGGGGTGTCCATAACACTTCAAACAGTTTATATCTACAATTTTGTGTTTACATTCCAGCATTTTTTTTAACTTCCTGTTTACATTAAATTACATTCGATTTTAACTTGGGCTGCTTCCTGATGTAAAATAAACTTTAATTTTACCATATGTTGTGAATTTCCATAATAGGTTGGTTTTAGGTAAACAAAGACATGAGAAATAAATAGAAATTTGGTCAAACTTTGCACTAAAGGGGGCGGCGTTCCAGACGAGACAATATTAGAATAATCGCTTAGCAACCGCGGCCGTAAACGGAGCGCGGATGTCGTAAAGAGCAAAGAGGCTGGTGTTGAAAAGAGTCGAAACAGAACCCATTGTGGTGTTGGAGAGGAGTGAGCAGCTGCCCGGGAGAACAAGAAAAGAGGCAATTCCGTGACCGTAAAGGGACTCACAATAAGCGGACAGATATGGACGTTGGAGCGCAACGCGGACGACGTTGTGCTTTGTGAGCAAGGACCGCGTCGTCCGGTCGGAAAGATCCGGTATATGAAGAGTTAAGACTCGACATCCCAACTGTTTATTTCAGCAGCTAGCAGGCTAGCTGGCTAGATACCTAAGAGCTAGAAATGGGAAGCCCGTGTGAGTCGGCTTGATAGAGATCTTCGTCGAGCTTTGAAGAAGCAGCTCTCGGCTTTAGATACCGTCGGCGGTGATTTAAAGTATCCGCCTCGTGAGTAGCTGCAACTTTGAAGAATGATATGAACTGAGCGCTAACCGTTTCACTACTACAGCCCCGGAGAGGGAAAAGTCATACAGGTTTGTTTCACAGTTGTTTCTTTTCTCCATGCAGTTTGGTACCGCCGCTGTTACTGAGTCCTGTAGAAACGGGAGCTGGCACTTTGGAAACATTTCAGGGCAGTTCTTACAGCCGGGCAGTTTTAATAAAGCAAATAAAAGTCCAGTCGGGTTCTCAGTTGCTCATTGCCTGGTACTTTGAGCGGCACTGTTGCGACCTCAGAAAACGATTCAACGATAAGATAAAAAAAATGCTCGTAGTCAGTGTTTTTTTTTCCCTTTTTTGTTGGAAACAAACTCTCTTATCAGATGCCCGCATCCTCTGTACGGCGACAGGAAGCGTATTATTACCGCTATTAGTGTTGGTTGGTGGTGTCATTTTTGTTGAAGCGGAACTATCTGTGAACGTTTAGTATGCTGCCCTTTTAATTAGCCCTCTTATCTTTGTCTGCAGTTGCATTAGAGGAGATAGCCATGTTGATTACATGTCCCTATACACAACTTAGTGTCGAAATAATACAATGCACACAACCGCAGTGGAGTGTCATCAGCCGGAGTCTGCTCTGATCTCCACAACGATAGGCGAGAACGTGCGGTCCCTTTAACCCTATTTGTATGCAGATCATATGGAATTATAGCAACAACACTGTTGTCAAGAAGGGTATCTTATTTCCGGGGGCACCGTTAACGTTTTAATATTCCTTTTTTTTCCCCCACCTAATTGGCACAATAGTTGATCTCAACAGGTTACTAGTTGGCCTGCTTGTTTCAGATTGGTTTTCTGTCTGTTAGCCTTCCCTGTGGGTGTTAACAGTAACAGGTTCACCATCCAGACATGAAGGCTCAGACATTACAAATATAAGCATAATTTAGAATAATAGCTAAATTGACTTGACCATGAGGTTTCTGTGGCGTATTAATGATTGTAGGCTCTTTAGAAAGTTCTGCCCTTGATTTCTTCAAGGGAAAAAAAATTAGATTACCACAACAGTCGTACTGTTTGGTCCAGATAAAGCTCGTAATAAGTCCTGAGGAATTTCTCTTTACAGTCTAATGAATAGAACGGGCTGCTTAGAATTAATTTTTTTTCCAAAGCAGGAGACTAATTGTGGAGCATTTCTGCAAGGTTAGTCGACGAGGGAACTATGAAAAGAGCCCGATACACTTAAGACATTCAGCTGGTGGTTGATTTGAATGTTTCTGAGTGCTCAGCAGGGGAAACGTCTTGTAATCGTAGCCTAAAAGCTCCCACAGGAACAGTATATTTTTGTTTTTGACCTCCAAACTCGGCGTATCATCACTCGGATAGCGCAGCTCGTACAGCAGATGGAGGTGATATTAGGAATGCCTTGAAATGTCAGGTAATCAATTTGATTTCCTCCCCCCTCTTTTTTGTTTAAACTTATTTTGACAGCTTGTTTTAATCACTTCGAGTGCTGCTTCACTCGGATGACATGTTTGCTCTGCAGCCGCATTAACATGAGATTTAAATGTGTGACAACTTTTCAAACTTCTGCAGAGAGAGACGCCAGGTTTGTGAAACCGTGCGGCTGCTTGAATTAAACAAACATGTTATCAGTTGGAGGAATTCAGAGCAGATCTTCGCGTCCTTCTAAACAGCTGCGTCATTTTGGCGCAAAGCAGATACTATTGATATTCTCATTAAAACCTCTAGCATTTGGTTTGGGCCAGAGATGAATGGACTAATGTTCATTGTGGGGATGCTGCTAATTGGTGCTTATATTCTGAGGACTCAATTTTCCATTAGGCGTGCGAATGTTACTGTCATTTGTATCTATCCATCACTGGCTACGTGTTTGCTGTACTGAGGCAATCCGGCTGTGGCTGAATGTTTTTGTGATCAAACATTATTGACTCTCTCAGTCGATAACCTTGGCAACAGTAGTTCCTCTCTCCAGCTAGAGGAGGCTTTTTCCGAGCTTTGAGTAGGGCTTCGTGGTAATACCGGCAGTCTCGGGGGTAGACACGTACATGTGTGTGTTTGTGTGTGTCCATTCAGATGTGAAAACCTGCTACTCTGTATTCAAGCGATCTATTTTCAGTCATTTCAATCACAAGAGCAATATCTCAAAGTTTCTCTCATCTTGCTGTCCATTAGTTATACATTGGAAATATCTCTTTCCTCGCTCTATTTTTTCTGACTCCTCCACTGTATTTCAGTCCTTTTTAGCACTTCCACTTTGCAGTCTCCTTTGCATTTCCAGTGGAATTAATCAAGCATGTTCTTGTGTGGCTTGACTTCATTATATCATAATGAAGTTTAGCCTCAGGTGCAGTGAAGGAAATGGGTTAGCCTGAGAGTAGCCTTGCCCTCGTACACCATTATCTGAAACCAGTTTTTACACAATGAGCTGCGGAAAAAGAGTGTTCAAAAAGGAAATTTCCTTTTCACATCAGTCTTTCTTATCAGAGTTTTTTTCTGTCAAAATCTAAGTTTAATAAAAGTAGAAATTTTAGGATATTACCATGTCATCTTCCACTGTATCGACCTTTGTCATTCTGTTTTAAGCCAACATGGGGCCTATTGCTTCATCTTGTGCCGTTTCTGTCCCAGTAATGAGCCATTTTGCGGCTCTTAACATCTGCCAAACTTGGAACATTTTGAATGCGAGACTCATCTCCCATGCATGAGGAGTCAGGCATCCTTTGATTTGCCCTCTTTTCTTTGCCTCTCTTTCGAAACGCTCACCGCTGTACTTTGTAGACTGAGTACGCTGAAAAACTTTCTTACCCCACTTTTGGCAGCGGCCGCGTATGATGAGAGGTAATTTGGTGCTTATTCTAAACAGGTTTCTCCTCTTGGTATTGTGCATCCCTCCTCCTCCTCGCCGAGGCACCGTGGGGGTGGAACGGAGCAGAAGGGCTAATTTGAAACACAAGTTTTCTGTGGGCACAATGAGGTTTGTCCGAATGAAAACACGGCTTTATATTTCAGTGCCCTTTTATTCCGGTGGGTAACATCTGTGTTACAATACGGAGCATCTGGCTTTCATTTAGAGCTTTAGGTGAACTTTGCCCTCGCTAAAAACCTGAGTAGGCAACCTTGCCACAGAGCCCTACGTAGTCTGCCGTTCTCTCTTCAAGCCCTGTTAAATAACTCGCATCTGCAGGGTGGCGTACAGCAAGAGACAGTGAGGGAGTGAAATAAATGGTTTTGCAGGTGTAAAATTCGCAAGAGGCAGTCTAGTTGGGTAATTACCAAGGAAAAATATCCCCGTCTTAAATTACCATGTCATCCTTCCAATAAAGCTGAATGTTTTCATCTTATTCACACCATTACTGTGCGTGCAGCAGCAGCAGCAGGCTATAAAATTTGTAATCTAGCAGCATATCAATTGGTGTAGAGTCGTGGTAAACAAAAGTGCAGGATCAAGGATAAGCCATAGGTGGCAGATTTAAGTATTTAAACACCTCGGTTGTCTTTGATTAACGGAGAGAAAATGCATGCATGTGTAAATTCTCCTTTCACTTAAGCAGTTAGTACGGTTATTGACATAATCCAGGTGAGGCTCCATAGGTAATTGTGGTCTAACACTTCGTCTGGCAAGGAAGAGGAGGAAGAAGCAGCGGCCATGTATCCTCCCCGTGTTAGCCGCCAGCTTGTGCATCTCATTACTCCGTGGTGTCCAGGTCTTGTTTTCCTGGCTTGTTCCAGCTTGCCCTTTTTCTCTCGGTTGCTTTCTCTCAGGGATGAAGAGGTGAATATTCTCTTGGCCTTTGCCGAGGTTGTGTTTCATCCTCTTCGAGCCCTTCGCTCATCCCGGTTAAGTCTCGTGTCTGCTTCCAAGATCTTGCAGTCACGTCTGTGCCCTGACTGCCTGTGTCAGATGCTAAATGGCACTTGAATCGAGATCTTAAAACGACGGGATATTCAGTTTTCCCCCCTCAAGCAATCAGCTTTCTCTCACTCCCTGTGGTAAAAGGCACAAAGCACACATCCTTCTGACTCCTATTGAGGTTGTTGTTTTTGGTGGGGTTTGTCACACACTCGCTTGCCTTATTTCCTATCCTCCAACTTCTCTTCTTTTTCCAATTTAATATGAATATATTGTAAAATTTGAATGTATTTTCTGAAAACCATTAAATCACAGTGTTCTTTTTTTTCCCCTCGTTCTGAATGGACTGAGGTTAATTTACCACACCGGAGCTATTCTGTTGAAGCCAGCCCTATGTCGTTCTCGAGATTTTTTTATTTCAGCGAAATGCTGCAGACGAAATGTATGACAGAATGATCTTTTTGTACTTTTTTTTTTGCTTCTCTTCTTAATGTGGCCATCAAAAATACAAAATATGCAAAAAATGTCCTATAAGTGATAATCTCTCAAACCTAGAATGACGATCTTTGTGCTTCATTATCATGACAAATTAATGAATGCCACCTCATGTCTTAGGAAATTGCAACACTTTCTAAATGCAGCCTAAACGTGATTGAAAGATCACCTCTGTTTCAAATATGTGAAGTAACTCAGTCACTATCATTATCTATGTCTTGTTTCAGGTACAGAAGAGAAAATCAAATGCTCATTGCTACGTTGAGTCACGTTGCCTGGGTTCTAGATTTGTGTTGGGAATAGGGAGGAAAGAAAAAAAATGCTTGAATCATTTTTCTTGGCCTGTAAAAATATGTAGTGCAGCTGTCTGTAGTTCTCCTATTTGGATATGGTCTATTTTTACATTAGTCATGTTGGCCTGATCTGCTCAAGGTATTTTCAGACAGAGGTGTGAGGTAATAACTGGTGTATTCAGCTCTTATCTGTCACTCCACAGGCGCACATCTCTCACAACCCCTAGACTCTTCGCTGCCTTTAGACCTTGTGTCTTTCCAGATTTCTGCCGCTTCGATCTGAACGCGAAACGCGAGGAAGCCATCGACACGCGCACTAATCACACTAGTGTGCCTGCTCGTTAGCCATGCCCTCTCAAGTCAGCTGTCCTAATAGGCATGTCCTAATGAGCTCTAATTGAGGACGGCTAATTTGCATGGCCTGAGTCATTGTCTTTCTTAAAGCGTCTTATGAAACTCATTGCTAAAAAGCTGATTGGGGGGTCTAACATGGCTTCATCATGGGCGGACTATGGGGGGGCTTTCTGAGAGCTTTGTTCCTGTACTGTGATTCTACATTTTTGTCTCAGTCTTCCACGCATAGCTCCTACCATTCTGTTCTCTGCTGACATCAGTATGCTTAGTGAAAGTATTCACAGATGCTTTTTCTCCCCCCCCTCGATCACAAACATTATTTTAGTGACACAAGCCATTTTCAAAGAAACGGCTTCAAAGCACGATTAAAACGAATCAGGGCAGCTCTGATCAAAGGTTAAAATTTGCACAGCATGACTCTCTTCACAATGCAAAGTGAGATTCCTCCATTTGAAGCGAGAGAAACAAAATCAAGACTTTCAAGCTTCGGTGTAACTGTTGAGGTATGCAGGCGGCGAGTTGTTGTGCTGTGCATCGGAGGAAAAGTGATGGATACTTGTGTAGCTGCAGAGGGAGGTCCTCTGAGGAATCATCCTCAGAGTGCAGCACATTTTATTTATACTAGGAGAGGATGTTGTACATTTCCTCTTAATTCGATCACTGACACCTTATTTTCCCCCTTTTCCATACTTTTATTTATTTTTCTTATACTGGGGGATTATACAAGAAATGATTTCCCAAAGAGAAAGAGCTCAAAGAGGCACAGGCAGGTTTATTGCATTGGCTGTGGGCCATCTCATTTCTGCTGAAAAAGTAATGAAATCTCTCAAATGACCCAAGCAATTCAAATTTGTGAGACAATTTCATATGCCAGAGAAGGCACTTTTTTTTTTGTTTTATAGGAAATATCACATGTTAGGACTTCGGGTGAAAAGAAAAATTAAATAAACCTTTCTCAATTGCTATCAATGACCTAATGGCTAATTTAGGTGTTACGAAATGTGGCTTTTTTATTTTCACTGATGTAATAAGTTCTCTGTGTTCTCTCTGCTTGATTGCAGGACTGCTGGCTGAAGTTTGCACACTACCACCAGGAAGAGGGAACATGAAGCACTGGCCACTGCCAGAGACTGGCACAGGGCAGCTGTGCCAACCCCGCCCCTTCCTGCCACTTTAGAAGCTACCCGTTTTACACCATGACGGAGAGGCATTGAGGTTAGCTCCCTGACGATCATCTCAATACCTCTCCTCCTCCCTGTCCCTCAACACCCCCAGCCCCTGCCCCGTCCCCACCATGCTGCGCTTCTTGCCTCTCAAACTTGGCCGCCTGTACCGCTGTCTGAAGCTCCTGTTGGTGGTGGGATTGTTTGTCATCTTGTTGATGAACACCCACAACCTGTTCGCCTCCTTCCAGAAGAATGAGCTCACTGACAGACGATTCATCAACCTCAACAAGTGTCCCGCCTGTTTTGGCACCAGCTGGTGCCGTAAGTTCATGAACGGCCAGGTTTCTTTCGAGACATGGGGTCGCTTGCGATTTCTAGACGTATTCAATGTCAAGAATGTTTACTTCGCGCAGTACGGCGAGCCCAGGGAGGGCACTCGCCGTGTGGTGCTCAAACGGCTCGGCTCCAACCAGGAGCTGGCCGAGATAGACCAGAAGATCTGCAAGAGGGCCACGGGCAGGCCGCGCTGTGACCTCATTCAGGCAATGTACAAGACTGAGTTTGCTCGGATCAACGGCGACGTTCGCCTGCTCACTCCAGAGGTGGTGGAGGGCTGGTCAGACCTTGTGCACTGCCCCTCTCAGAGACTGCTGGACCGCGTGGTCCGCAGGTATGCTGAGACCAAGGACTCAGGCAGCTTCCTGCTAAAGAACCTCAAGGACACAGAGAGAATGCAGCTGCTTATGACATTGGCATTCAACCCGGAACCACTCGTACTACAGGTACTGTGTCTTTTTTTTTAAAGAACTTTTTTTCAATGTTGTGTGTTTACCTGGTTTGAAGGAGCCTCTGTCTGTGACACTGTTTGAGCCTTGGCAGAGTTTTCTGAGTGATGCATGACTATTTCAGTGTTTGAGGAAAATATTGCTTCTGGATAAAGAGGTTTCTGTCAGGTGATCTGTGGCAGCAGGTGTTTTCATAGTTCTTGATAAGGCACGGTTCCTGGATTACCCTCGGAGGATCAGAGCATCAGTACAAAGCAAGCTAGGGTGTTGGCCCACAAAGCCCCCAGTAAATTACAGAGTGGGAATCCTCCTTTTCCTTCCTCTTCCATAGATCTGAGAGAAGCCGTAACACCCTCCCTAAACTCTAGGCTACATCAAGACTGCACGCCCACTATCTGGAGCACGAATATTCCTCAGCTTAGAATAGAGAAGGGTTTAAGAGCTGTGGCCTCCAAAAAAAAATGAGACATTTTGGCTGGCGGCAATACTGCATATTTAACACTATATGTAGGGCAGTTTTTAATTATTCAAGGATGCATCTGTAAATGGTCCAAGTTGTTTTTAATTTTAACATACGTCCGTGTCCATTGGATTCTCGTCAATTGTGGGTGACTGGAGTGGAGAAATCTCTCGCGGGCCGGCACTCTTGATCTTTCACTAATCTTCCAAAATATAATTTTGGCCTATATGCACGTCTGTATTTTAGCATTACGGTACAAAGAAACAAGATTTAGTTGAAATTGACGACTTGAAGAAACTAATTAAACCCAGGAGATTTACGCGACTATGCGATTTTTTGGAACTCTCAGTGTTTAGTTTTGATGAGCGTGTTATTTTTGATACATTTCGTCCCATAAGTCCCATAATAATATTGTGCTGAAACATTAGAAGAATCTTTAATTCGACATAGAATAGATGAACGAATAGCATTTGTCGCCGAAATCAAAAAAGACGCTTCCTAAGCTCAACAGTCTGCCTCTGACATCAGCTCGGGAGTAAAATCGTGACCCATCTCTGTCGTGTCATTCTGCATGTCAAAGCAGCCATACTCTAAATAATATAAGCACTTCCCCCCCCCATCTGATTTACAGGCAGCCAATCAATTTCAATTTCAATCTGGCATTGACCGTGTCTCATAAGGGGGACAGAACAACAATGGTCTTGGCCCGTGTAGACATTCAATAACTTGTGCTGACCTCCACCCCCCTGCACATAGGACCGGACACCTCCAGGCATTTCGGAGGACAAAAGGCGAGATCAGCCTTTTAGACTGGTCAATCTATAAAATCTGATTAGCCTTGTGTGGTCGCCGGCCCTCCCCCCTTCCCTCCTTTCTCCATCTTTTTTTTCTGACTGTGTTGTCCTTCACTACTTTTTTTTTTTTTCTGTCCCGCTTGTTTACGCTCCACGGATAATTCCATCAGTGTTTTTTTAATGCCATTATACCACAGTTCAGAGGCTTGGTGAATCACCCCCATTCTTATCTTGCACCAACACATCAGGCACACACATTGTCCTCGGCCCTCTTCCCCCATCCCGCTCCACGTCGCCTTTATATGTTTACAGGGACTCATGAATTGTTGATCTCATCGTGAACTTGTGACCTGAAGGCAAAAGAAAGAACTGTAGGAGCTGTGTGTGCACCAGGCCAAAGGTAACAGATGGTGGGCACGGATTGTGTGGATGAATAGCACAAAGAAATGTGCCAGGCATCTCGGGGAGTCACAGATCCTGAGTACCTCGACTGTTCGTCAGCATCACTGAACTCAAAAAGATGAGAAAAATTTGCCAAGAGACTGAGAGACCCTATACACAAGGTTGGGCCGCAGTAGACCATAAAGAATTAATAGCGTCTATAGAGATTGAACAGGAGACGTGCTGTACTACAACACCTTTGCCAGAGGTTAGTGCTGCCGTGTGGGGACTGGTCTTAACAAAAGATAGAGGAATGTGGGCTTAGTTTTATGACCCGTTCTTTAATGTAAGCTGATCCTGATTTTGACTATTTATCACGCCGCCTTCTTGTCAGGTCAAAAACCATGCTTCATGTTGCCTGGTTGCAGTGAAATACCTCTCCAGCGAGTTGGACGAGGCCACTATCGCTCATTTTTTTAATTTAAGCGGGCAAGATTTAGCGTAAATGATTTCCTACTGCTTTTGGTTGACAACGTGATGGTTTAAGGGGTCTTTCCTCCTCTCCTCTGGCTTTATGCTTTTAAATAATGCGAATATCATTTCTCCTGTCTGCTCAGCGAGCTGCACTCTCTTAGAAGGGCTTCTGTTTCTACTCTTTTGAAGCCACAGGCAGTAAATCGGCCCTGATTCACTATGAGAAACCAGACCTTCTTTGTCAGTGGGAAACAATCTGCTGTGTTGTTTTGGGGCTGGCCAACAATGCGTTTTCTGTGTGCTCTGTGGTACACAAGCGTGCACGCATCCACACACACCACCCCCACTCCTCTGTCACGTGGAACACAATTTGGCTTTGGGGAATAAATATTTTTGGAAGACAAAATGACGACAGCCAAACAAGAAAATCCTTGTGCAAAGAGAGGCACCTTATCCAACTCAATCAGTTTTCCCCTCATTTCCGCTCACCAATGCTGTTAAGTTGGCCCGGAAAGGTTTCTCTGTTACTGTGATGAATCTACTCGTGTCAAGGGGTTGTCTCTTTGCCAAGTGGAGGAATTTACACGACGCTGTTTAATTTTTACCTCTTATTCAACAATAACTTGGTTTGCATGGGAAGTGAGTAATTTATTCTTCTCATTTCAATGGCTGGAATCTTATTTGCCATCCTTGGCTTCTCTCCTCCAGCTACATGACTCACTGGTTCATCAGGTGATGGTTGTGTTTGATGGAGTAGATCTGGCCCAGCCTTAAATTAGTTCGATTTAGCCTAGTCCTCCCTTCCAAATCATTAAGCTTGGTGAGGTTGCCAGAAGCATGTGACTGCACTCGCACCCTTTTTGGTCCTCAGCCCTGTCTTGCTCAGTGAAGCTGAGAATAGGATGTGACAGGCCTGTGGGGTTAACTCAGTCAGCGGTACTCTCATCTCCTCTAAACTCAAATCTGTGCACTCGCCACACACCCCTCCCCGCTCCGTTACCGTCCTCTCCCCACCTTTAACAGATCCGCCTCCTCATCCGACACTTTCGTCCTCACCTGATGAGGAGACACGCTCTTCAGGAGGCATGAGCCTCTCACGTAACGCTGTCTTGTTTTTCCTAGAACACAGACATCTGACACTGATACCAAATCAGAGAGGAGACGGAAGGAAAAGATTAGATGGATGACCTTATCTCCTATTCCTCCTAAGATTTTTGACACTAGTATTTTAATGCAAATGTGAAAGCAAGCATACACAGCGCTGAGAGCAAACACACTAGTAGCTTGTTTGAATTTTTTTTTGTAAATGGTGGGGATGCCTCTTTGGTGTGCTGTTGATTAATGAAGCTCTGCATAATCTATTACGATGCTTAGTCACTTTGGGAAGCTTAGCCAAAATAAACAGCATAAATTTAGGGGTTTTTTTCTTGCACAAAGTGAGGCAAAGGTGGTCCCTCAACTGTGACCCGCTATGCCTTGATTTATTTTTTTTTAATAGAAAAATAAATTTTAATGCATCAGATTAAATGACTCATAGCTGGTGTAGGCAGCTATGAGTCAGTAATCTTAGAACTGTAAAATTTGAAAAAACGTGACAGTGATTTGGTGTTAAAGCATGCTTTCAGAGGCCAAGAAATTATTTTTACTTACCACCTTATCGTGCCATAAAAAAAACAAATTATTTTTACAGTTTGGTGCATAAAATGTTAATTGAAAAGTGAGAAAACCAAGAAGCTCTTCACAGTCAAATGCAGTTCAATAACATTCCTGCTTTTCAGAGACTTTGTAAGAGTGTGTGGTAGTGCTTGATTTCATAATACCAAGTATTCTACAGCGGTCAAGTATTTAAAAAACCATGAGTACTTTCTTAAACTATGAATGGCTCATAAAAGTTCTACAGTAATAGAAAAAAAAACTGTCTTGTTGTGTCCATATATTCATGTTCTGGCAAAGACTCACAGAATTTGAGCCTTTATGTTTTCTGTGCGGGAAAAACTGTGCAATCTTATGGTCTGGTTTTCTGGGTCATGCCTCTTTACAAAGAGGATCAAAACCTGTTTTGTTTTTAGTTTTATTTATTTCTTTTCATTTAATCACACACGCTGCATGCTATCCCAGCTTAAGTAAGAGCCTTCTGTCTCGTAAGGCCGGCTCAGTGGCTGAGGTCCGCCAGTAAATAGTATTTAAGTTGCTAGTCTGTGATTAGTACCTTTGTTTTTGGGTCTGGGGGGATTGTGACGCTCTTAGCACATAAGAGAGGAGGTTGTGTACGCCGCTTAACCCTGCTTCAAGTGCTCCCAAACCCCCTTTCATTATTCTTATAGGCCTTTGTATACAGACTGAATCCTGTTAGGATAAGACAGGGAGTTATCTGGGCCCGACTCCCCTCTTTTGGCTGCCCTCGCTGGATGGAGGCCCTGGTGGAAAGGGGAGAAGAGAAGGAGGAGAGGAGCGAAGGGTTTGTGTGAGTGTGTGTTGTACAAGCCAGAGCCTTGTGGTGTTTTCCCCCCATTTGAATGAGCCAGACTGCTTGTGTTACCATAATCCTTTCTCTCTTTCTCCCTCTCTCCAAACACACACACATATATCCACACACACACGCCTGACAGCTGTGTTTGGTTAGGTAAATGCCTGTGGCTAGTCCCCCCCCCTCCTCCTCCTGTCCCACCCACCAGCTCCTTTTTTAGATTTGTCCCTCAACACCCCCCTCAGCTTCCTACTGTTACAGCGTGCACTCCGACCTACCTTATGCACAGTACTGCAGTGCAAGAGGGTCATTCACAACTCTCGCTGGGCCCCTTAAGATGGCCAATATGGATCGGTAACAAGCAGCTCTTTACTGTGCTTTTTTCCCCTGGAGAGCCTCGGGCCTAATGTTAGAGCAAGAA